CAAAAGAGAGAACTTGCATACATTGGCAGAACCTTCTCTAACAGGACTCCTGGCCTACACAGCTATGCTGGCAGAGATGGGTAACAAAGACATCATCTTTAAGTCCCTTTCATTTTTGTGAGATCAAGGAAGATCATCCAAGTAACTACAACATTATACTATGAGTTTTAAGTGAAGAAACTAGAATTCTGCTAAATAGTTTGCAAGTCAAACACGCATATCAAAAATAAAAAACAAATCCAAGAGTACTTCCTGTATATCCTGTGGAGACAAAACCACTCTTGTATAAGGAACATAGTGCACTCCTCATCTTTGACGAAGGAAGACTGAACACTTGACAAGGTAATGAAGTCACACAAGCATGAATAACCAACACATCCAGCCTTCAAACCCTCTCAAGACATACACTTACCTAATTTGTAGGTAGTTTTACAGATAAAACCTAAAAAAGAACATGTTTAATTTCACTTCCCATGTTCAAACTTTAAATAACTTAGATTTAAATTGCAATTGTAATTGTTCAAATCAGTTTCTATACAGCACAGTCAGAAAACAAAGATGTTGGCAGCCACTGAAATGGTGGTAGAAATTATTCACCTAGAACAATATGGGAAGGCTGTAGCAGAAATAGGGATAAAACCCAAGCACTGATGCAACTTTTTATATTTCCATCTTTTCTTCAGCTCAACACCATCTCATTCCTAGCAATCTTTCAACCAGTCTCTTCCCCATCTGTCTACATGACCTCATGACTTTCCAAGCCCATGTCTTTTACTTTTTTGTCTGCCTCTTCCCATTCTCAATGCTCCCTTAACATGGCTCTTAATTTTTTTCCTTAAATATATCTCTTATGTGTTTCTTCCACCTCACTCAGGTTTGGATTTTATCCTCCCTTGCAGTGTTCAGTCTTAGCAAAAGGCAGACACAATTCCAAGTAAGCCAAAGTGATGTTTGGCAAAGCAGTAACTTGCAAAAAGAAACACTAAGGAAACTTTGACAGAGATACCACTACTACATTCAACACTTCGCTCTCACCTGTAAAAATACAAAATAGCTCAGGTTCTCTTTCCCTGAAGGAGAAGAGCGGTGGGAACACTGCAACATTAGAAAGTTATTTCTCTTGTTCTCTAGATGGATCTACAATACATTGTAATTTATTTTATCTAGAGAAGTCTAGGGACTTCAGAAAATTTACCCCAGTTTTTACAGTCCCAAAGAAGCCAAATGCTTGAAAAGCCAAGTGAGTGATCAGAGTCCACCACCAACACCCCTGCTAATCCAGAGAGCAGAGTGGGAATGAGAGAGCAGGCACAATAGTTGAAATTAAATAATAAGAGAAGCTAAAAATTCACTGAAGTACAAGAAAAATAAAAGAACTTACAAAAAATTAGGGAACAGCCAAACCTGCAGGAACCAAGAACCATGACTCAAGAAGCAAGAACAGGAGAACACAACAAATCAAACGACAGAGCCAAGAACAACTTCCCCTTCCTCACATAAGCCCTTCCTCACAGAGCATGCATACAGTGAGTACTGTATCTTTACGTGGAGATGAGAGAATGCAAAGCCAAAGACTATAGATTTAGGTTGCTACATAAATGGGAAATGACAGTTTTTTACAGTTCAAAGTGCATAAAAATGAGTACCTGGCCTACTGAAGGTGTGCTACCTTCATGGATTCAGCACCCAGCACCTATCTCTGCACAGATACAAAATATGATCAAGTATCTCAACTCTGTGTGTGCATCATGTTCCTGCACACTGGGTGAAAAGAATCCATACTTGGGACGACACAATATGCTGGCATTCTGGCCACTTGGGAGCTCTCCCAAAATAGGGAACACTTGAACTGCCTGTGTCAGCCTGGGTTCCAATCATGTGGGTCCACTTCAAGGGTATAAAGTCTGCAAGAGACACTGCAGCTCCATCAGTCTTTTGCTGTTACACTAAAAGCAACAGTGCTGTCTGAACCTTGCATGGTAAGGACACGAATATTGGTTAATTTATTTTAAAAATACCTATTAAAAATTAAAAAAAGAAACAGCAGCAGAAGTCCAGTCATTACACAGGTACAAGAAAATCCAGTGGCACAGGGAGTTTCCACAGACAAAGGATTTCCCACAGCCTATTGTTGGAAACACTGTGACTCAACTGCTCATTTCTTGCTCAACAGGCTGCTGATTCAACCAGAAGAGGATGCTGGTATGTCTCACCTTCTGCATTCCACCTACTGTAGCCGAAATCAACAAAAAAACTGGCTTTGAAAAAACATGTGACTATATCTCATGCTAGTTTCTAGCTATCTACATGACATACTTTCGCTGTACAAGATCATGTTTTTGTCAATGCCATTTAAAGGTACATACAATAAAACAATAAATCAGGAAATTTAACTGCTGCTATCTCCTTATCTTGCTAAATTCCAGTTGGACATTTCACTGCAAGCAGGTGGTTAGAAGCTGAGTTTAATATGCTTTCAGAGTATAATATGCTTTCAGATTCACTGCTGTATGAAGAAACTACTGACCAGTGAAATTGTCAACATACAAACTTACAAAATAATCAGATAAAAAGTGTTCTGCAGCTGGAGACAAATCCTGTTAGCACTGTGTATGAAGAACAGTCTCTTGTGAAAATTAATGACCTGATGCAACTCCCCAGAGAAAGCCCTCAGGCAAGGAATTCAGATGGAACCAGGGAGCAAGCCAGTGGAGGCTATTTTAAACCCAAGCCTTTCTACAGCTACTTCCAGGTGCAGCCCTAAATGCAGCAACAGTATCTGTTTCCCAGAAGCAGATTTCAGGCTGTCTCTGACAGGTAACTGGAGATAGGCAGTGTGGTTCCAGAGGCAAGGCATGCAGCTGGCTGCCAAAATAAAGCACGAGTTGTTATTTTTCAGAGAACAGACTGTAATTCTGTTCTCCTGCAGAAGTTATATACATTTCCTTCTCATACTCAGAAAGGTTTGTTCAGGATGCTGGCAGGGAAAAGTAGAGAAAAATCCCTAGAGCGAGGTAGGAAGCGGAGACAGGAGAAGTGTGGCTAGAGGCTAACAGATTAGCCATTACCAAATTTATAATCTGTGTAGACGCCAGAACATGTTAAATATCTTGGAGCAGCATTTTTAAAACCTTAGGACTGAAAGAACAGTGAATGAGCTCGTTTTAGCAACACAAATGAGTTCCATTAGGGAAAAAAGGGGGGAAAATGAAAACCAACCTTTCCAGGACTTTCTATTTTTTGCACACCAGCATACATATGAACACAATAGATACTGCTGAATTCAATCCCAAAAATCACAAATGTATCACTGCCCTACCTAAAAACCCACAAAAGTATCTTCATTTCAGTCAAGCAGTTAAACCTGTGCTTAACTTAAAAGATTATGAGTGAATGTACCTGAAGTAAACAGGATTTGGGTGCTTTGTTGGTGAAGGCACAGGCTTACTCTTTATATTCCTAAAGATGTAAAAAATTAGGGTTTTTGCTGATAGATGGAAATAATGAAAGAAGATAAAAAGTCATTGTTGAAATTTACTTGAAATTCCTATCATAACAGTAACATATCCATTAATTAATAGCTTACAAACAAAATACAAACCAGCTATGTTTCACTCAAGTCTGGATATACAACATTAACCTCTAATGATGAGAACTATGTTATGACTTACTAGGAGAGCTTTAAGAATCGTGAATATTCCAAATAAAACGAGAAAGTTCTGAACTATCCAACATAAACTAGGAGGTCTGCAAGATGATGACATCTGAGATGAAATGTATATTTAAAGACTGCATACAGTGCCTGTATTTACTGCTGTCCAACACCTTATGATGTGGACATAGTTTTCAACTGCTTTTAAATATGTATATTTAATTTTTTTAAAGAAGATTTTTCCATCAAGCATCTGACTCAGGATGATTTAAAAAGAAATATTAAAGGAAAACCTTTCTACAAAAGAAAAAGCATCTCAGAATAGAACTAGAACTGTGGAACATGCATTGCTTTGCTCTTCTGTTGTTGCTTTTAAAAGAGCAAAAAGCAATAGCAAAATAACAGCAGGGTAGGTTTAATTTAAAAGCTCTACTACCTTCAAGTTTTGAAACAGAGATTTCCCATCTTGAAGGCAAATCAGGGATGTGCTTTTGCCTTTTCTAAGAAATCCATACAAAACCAAGAAGTCAATTTGCAGACACACACTAGACTAGGTTACTCAGGAATTTGAGTTCTCTAGGCTCGATGTGGCTTGAAAATAAAGGGATTAAGTCCAGCCTGCCCTGGGACTGCCTCCTTCCTGCCTGGCTCTGCTGTGGATCCCTTGCCTGCTCCTGGCCAGGCTGCGAGGCGACGGGATGGGATGGGATGGGATGGGATGGGATGGGATGGGATGGGATGGGATGGGATGGGATGGGATGGGACGGGACGGGACGGGATGGGACGGGACGGGATGGGAATGGGATGGGACGGGATGGGAAACCCGCGGCCGCGGTGCCCCCTGGCGGTCGCTGCCGGCACAGCCGAGCCGGGGGTTTGTCGGTCCCGTGACCAAGTGGAGAACGAGACCCTGGTTAATTGAGCAGGTAATTATAAGCACCTGCAAAGTCAGACGGCAGGCAGGCTTTAAAACATCGGTTCCCTACTGCCACAGCCACCGGTTTGTTCCCAAAATCAGCTGCCTCATCCATCTGCACTTCCATCTTCCACAATACACAAGGCAGGTATCACCCAAGACTAGGTTGTCTTAACTACAGTGTCCTCAGTCATTCTCCAAGCATTACCCTTCTCACGTTTCCACTGGTGTGAGTTTGATGGGGAGGAATTAGAAACTCTTATCATACTGGGAAAAAAAATACATAGTTGCACCAGCAACTTCAGTATTTTATACCTGCCAAAGATCTATCTTTGCAACCATGTATTGATTTAATGTAACAGTTGTATCTATTAAAAGATAATATTTAAATAAGGATAGGTTTTCATAACGTTATTAGAAGGGGCCATTTACCTGATTTACTGTTTCCTCAAATGCTCTTATATAATTATTAAGATCTCTGTCCATTGCAGCAAATTCTAACATGACTTTTTCCATACTGGTAACATCCTCTTCATCATCTGCAAAATAAAACATTTGGAACATGGATGATCAGCTGTAATATTTTCAGGCAGTATTTCTTCTTTGCAAGTATTTTATTTACAATATTGATACTGTGAATGTCTAAAGCATATGTAAGTCTCAGCAGGTGTTTTCAAGCTCCTCAAACATATACTTCTTTTTTCCTATTTTGCAACTGTAATCTTTTACATTTCTTGGGTAACTCGAACAAACAGCTTACTCAGAAAGACACTTCCCTGGTTTCATGTGAACAAGAGAGAGTGTGTGTAATTTCATCTACCAACACCTAGTCATTAGGCAATCAGGATATTTTCTGCAAAAGTTATATTTCATGACTCATCACATTGCCTCAGAAATAGTCAGAAGAAACTTAAATGCCCTCTCAGTACAGTATAGTTCACAGCTATAATTAGACCCCTTATCCCCAATAAACACAGCTACTGGAAAATCAAAAGAGAGCCAGCGTTTTATAACACGGGAAATAATGGAGGACTGAATAGCATTGGTTCAAGCAGTAAAATTCTAATTGCCTGGGAAAATCAATTAATACATGCGATTAGTAAATCACATCCACTTTTATTTTTCTTCTGCTTTCCTCCTAATTTCATTCCTTTCATCTCTAACTGCACCTCTGCTTTCCTGTTGTAATGTTGCTGTGCATCTGCTTAGCTGGATAAGGACCCTTTGTAGATGCTACGGGGCTGAACAGACTCTGTCTGACTGACAGAACCGCATGAACCACGCCAAATCCTGCCAACTGCAGGAGGACAGCCAGCCACGAGCCCCTAACCCATGCAGGAAAACCTAAGTTTCCACTTCTGCTACTCCCATTTATTCCTGCCCTGCAGCTTCCAGGTAGAGAGAAAACAGCTGGAAGCAGCTGGAAGCTGTGAAAGAGCCCCAGAGTCTGCCATGCAGCATTAGGGGTTATCATTTAATGGAGTGTTCTTCTTTACGAGCAGTTAAGTAGCCAATCTGTGCTGTTACTTTTAGGAAGAAAATTGTGGTACAGCTTTTTAAACTACTTTTTTGTGAAGAAAGGGAAATGTCTTCTGATCTGACAAGCCAGTACGCTGCCTAAGTTGCTAACTGTATTATTATGTTAGTGCACAAAAATCTGTCTCTGCAGAGAGCTAACACAAAGCACTGTATATGGCCATCAGCTTGAGAGCAAAATCTGAAGCAGATCACTCAGGGACAGAAGTTCCATACCACTGATGGATCCAGGAGACTGAGGAAAAGTGCTAAGATATATTTACACAAAAAGTTACATAATAAGCCATTCTATTTTGTGAACATGGCAATTACAGTTGTGACGTTTCCCTTAATTATATATAGGCTTGGTATGTATCCATTTTTCATTAAGTAGATGAATGGATGGATACTGCAGACAGAATCTTGGCATTCCTGCAACTTTCTTCTGAATAGTCAGCATTTCCCTCTCCCCTTTCCCTTCCCTCCCACCCTATTTCCATATCCTATCTGGTAACTATGATCATACTCTTTCCTTCCTGCAAGGAAGCATATGAAGTGCCTCCTTCAAGGCTGACACAAATGGCACTCCATGAATCACAGGAAAGGTTTGTGTAGCAAGTAACTGTCATTCTCCACCCATGGCCAAAATGAATCATATCCACAACATAAAGAAACTACAGTGGCCTAAATTTATTTTTTTTTTTTTTAGGGGAAGAGAAGTGCATTGTTAAACACCAAGAGAGCTGTATTAATGCTGTCTTTCCTAATAGTTAAAAAAACCTTTAGGTAAGGAATAATAATGTTTCATGCAACTTGAGAGATGCCTTAAAATAAAGCTCTAAGTGGTGGAACACAGCTCAGGCAAGAGGGACATTAACTACATCCTGCCCCACGTTCTTCATGTGCTGACTGTTCCACACATCCACCAGCTTGCTTTAAGCCCCAGTGCTGCTCACTGCTGTCTCCTTGTTGCTGTTGTTTCATGCACAGGCTGCGTTCTACACACTGGGAAACTGCTGAATGCATCACTAGTGCGTGGTCACAGCCTGCCCTCGGAGGCACCACAGACATACAGACAGGTCTGAATGACTGCATACAGGTCAGTGATTGTCCACACATAGATCTGAAGGACTTTATAAAGGTCAGTGGCTGTTCATACCCTATTTCTGCTCACTGACACATTAACTAGAGTCCATTTTCTATCCGCAGTCCAATCCATACTCCAGGGCACTGACAGTTAAGAGGAAATCTATGTTGTTCCCAGCCACGCACCTCCCCATCTCCTAAATAAGATTTAAAAGAAAACTTACTTTATAGGCTATTCTATTTGCCTTTTAAAAACCTTTATTGTTCCACATTACACACAGCAATAACCTGCTGTGCAAGGCTCCTCTGCTTTCCCTTCCCCTAAGGAGCTAAGAACACTTCTGCCCCTCCCTGGTAAGGAGCAGATGCAGGGCAGAGCTTGGGTGCACACAAGGAGAAGATGTGAGCGACTCCATGGGAGTGTAAAGTTTTACAGCTCACCAGGGCAGAGATCCCAGCACCTTCAATGTTTCCTTACAGCAGACTCCACCGTAAAATAATCAGAACACACTAGTTGACCTGATCTTACGAGGGAACAAGAAATTAGAGAAAAAAAAGACTTGCTTCTCCTCACCACCATCATACAACTCACTCTCACAAGTCCCACCAACGCCTTAGTTTAACAGCACTATAGTATCAAGAAGAATCAAAATTTAATAATTTCATCAGGACTTTGAACAATTCAAAAGGCATTGTCTGTTACCCACTCTGCAAGCCCCGCTGCTGCTTTTATTTCAGTTGTGAGGACAACAGTGGAGATTCATGGTAAAGAGATTCGAGGCACTGACTCTCTTCCAGCAGACTGTGAGCACACTGACTGCTGAATACCCTCCAGCCAGACTCCAGCTACAAAGCCAGCTTACTCTCCAAAGTACTCAAACCTTGCACTCACTCTGCAGACCAACAACCCAGCTTAACACCAAAATCAAACGCTTTGCAAGTGCAAGTGCTGTACCAGTGCCTTTCTGTTATCTAATCAAAATTTATCCTCATCTTATTTCTAACTCATATCTAAGGAATGCATTCCAAACTCTCTGCATATGCTTTTAGCTACTGCCACAAAATACCATCAAAGTTGCATACTGTAGTTGTCTCCTTGTTATCTACACTAAATATGTTCAGTTTAGTAAGCATTTCTTCACAAGTCATTACCCTCACCACTCAGAGATTATACATTTTGCAATATTTCATTTTTTACTCACAGAAAGCCCAGTCCAAGGCCATAATTTCATTTTCAAAGGCCCATGCACATCAAGTTAAAATTAGCTGGCTGAATATGCAGAGTTCATGTTATAAATTCCAGCTTGCATGATTTCATGATCTCTTATTATAATGGAAAAAGGAATATTATTCTGAAAAGTCTCCCTACATATTAAAAAACAACACTACATAAAGTGACAACCAAGAATTCAATTTTTCATTTCTAAAGAGACCAAAGTGATCATGTTGAAGTGCTTTACTGCTGATTTAAACCATAATTAGTCAGGGCTGAGTTGTGTATCATGAACCCACAGTGTTAAAACAGAAGTTGCAATAACAGGATAGAGTCAAGTCAGCACTGATTTAATACTTCCTATACTAACAGTCATCTAAAATCTATCAAAAAAAATTGCATTTCCTTCTCATATCTGAGTTCATATTTACTTCAGTTCCCTGCATACATCCACAAGTTTGCAAAATTTCTAAAGATTTTTCACAACTACCTCTTTCTGTGCAAAAGTTACCACATTGGTATTTGCTTATTTGGGGTATTACAGCTGCCCTGCAGCCAGCACACAGCAATCCAAATAAGCATTCACTTCCATCACAGACTATCTTAAACACAAAATAGTCTGGAATACCATGACATTACAGAAAGGCTCTAAACTTGCAAATATAACAGTATTTAAAATGAATGCTTAAGCACAGACAACGTGGATTAACGTAAATACATACATACTGTCATACATTTATAGTCTTGTCTAACAAAAGTCAAACTTTAAAGAAAACAGGACATGTCAGTTCTACCTCTTGCACTACATACTAGTTTGCTTTGAAATTCAAGGCCACATGCTGTTTTGCCCATCGAGGCAGAAGACTAATGGTATACCATTTGTCCACAAATTTTGACAGTAGATTTCAGACTTTTAAAACATTTAAAACAAAAACATCAGTCACTTGAGCTATTAGCAACAGCAGTAGTAGGCAGTTGTCTTCATACGCACCAGCAGCAGATAAAATGCACGCTTTGCCAGCAGGTTTCAAGTTACTCCTGACAGCAGATGAACACAAGCTCCCCACTTGACTTAGTTCCATCTTCTGCAGGAGAACGTACATTCTCAGTTCAGGATACAGCTAAGCATTTTTGCTGTCATTTTTCCTTCATTTTGAAAACCAGAAGTGTTAAGACTCCCCTCTGGACCCCCAGTTTTGGTCTTCTCAAAACTGTTGATAACGCAAACTGGACAGCAGATCTTGAAAAAAACTTTTAACCAACCCACAATCTTTAAGAATAGATTCTTGGAGAAGACAGTAGCAGCATGCCCCTCTAATATATGGATGATCAGTAGTGAGAAGATACAGACCTGGGTAGGATACCACTGTCTTATTTCCCTCCCCTGTCTAGATAGGCATGAACCTGACGTGCTACTCCAAGCTACACAAACCAGGAAGAACCTAAACAGGAGTTTGCTTCTGCAGCAGTGAGGGTACATCTTCACTTTTTCTCCTGCGGATACATGGACAGCTTCTCAGAAAACTCTCGCCGAAGAAAATTTCTTTCAAAATCTCATCTCCCTGACCTGTAATATATTTCACCTATCAGGCTGCAAGAACAGCAGAATGCTAACGCAGAAAATTCTAAACTAAATGAAATCAGAAGCCATACAAATGAACAGTAAAAGACTGGACAATACCCATTTCATCTCCTGAGAGCAGGTATCCTCACAGAGAGAAATGC